AGGTTCTTTTTCAATTTTGCCTGTAATATTCTTTGTTATTATGACTCCAAGAATGTTAAGAAGGTGTTTCCTGGAAGCTAGACTGTCACTAAAAAGCCAGAGATAATAAAGGATATTTCTAGGTAGATGCAAAGAAATAAGGGCGTTAAAGGCTTTGCAGAACGTAATTTCTCACTCAGGAGAAATAATGGGAGTAATTCTAAATAGTTTTCTACGTTAGGCATAGCTTCTACCACCAATAGCCTGCTCCAGTTAAATAATAGCAGCAGATGTTGTAATGCGTATTACTGCTGTCCTGTGAAGAAGCAAATGAAGAAGCCTCTGTGCAAAGAAGGCTGATGCCACCAATAGCCTGCTCCAGTTAAATAATAGCAGCAGATGTTGTAATGCGTATTACTGCTGTCCTGTGAAGAAGCAAATGGAAGAAGGCTGATACACAATATTTGCACCAATATCTGTTTACAGCTGTGGGTTCAGCCTTGAGATCAATAAACTTTATTACATTTGAAACCTGTGTGTGTGAGATAAACAATACGTGTATGAAGAACTGGGAAAAGGTGGTGTCAATAGGAGAGAGAAAATAATAGGAAGAACCATGTTTACACAGAAGTGGAAATGGATCTAATTACTCAGTCATTAAAAATACAGGGAACTTTGCAATTGACATCAGTAAGAAAAGGATCTGGCCTAGGGTTTACTTGCATACAATGGAATACTGAAATAAACTCTCATGGTCCTAGTCTTATCTGAAACACTGAAGTTTTGAGTCTGTGAGGTATAAAGTATCATTTTTGATATATATTATTTGAATTTAAAGTCATTATAAATTAAATATAAAATGTAAGCTCCACCTGTTGGTGAAAATGTGGGATTTCAAATTATACTTGCTCTTAGCTCTATGTTTAGCTCACTTCCATAAGGGCTTTACAAGAAATTGATATAATGGTGATTTTTCTGCTTAAAATCTGGAGAAATATGAAGAATATGGGCTGCATCTCAGGAGAAGCAAGTATGAGAATGGCATGGGATCAAGCAGCTTTATGACCAGCTGAGGCATCCTGTTTTAGCTCCCAAGGCTGTTTTAGTTCTCAAGCAAAACAAGATGCCAATTGAAGTTTCTCTCTATGTAGAAAAAGTCACATCAGAACATTGTTTTAATAATGCATTTCGTACTTGATTGTCACCAAGGCTGAACTTTTTCATCTCACAACCTCAAATGTCCTCAGTCTTTGTATACAAGTGTTTGTCTCACATGTTAAAAGTACATGCTTTTTCTTGATTAGATGCACTTTTCTAGGTTATTTCATGTGGTCATAACTTACTGTAATAACAAAGTATAATAGATGTAGTTGAATGAAATCCAATAATCTTTGCTAATACTTTCACCTGTATAAACTTTTTGGTAGAAAAATTGTTTGCTAAAATAACAAATCCAGTTTACAGCTGGAATGTTTTCAGACCGCGTTGCTGATCCATCGCAATATTGGATCGGTCAGACTTCTGCAAGGAATTTTTTGTGTGCAATCATCCTATTCTATACGCTGTTGTTATTAGTATTATTGCTGTTATGGTTTGTTTTCCATATTTAATTGCTGTTTTTCCAGTAAATTATTATCTCAAAACATAATCTCTGCCTTTTGTCCCTTTCTTATTTGAGGAGGGTGGGGGCAATGGAAATGGCTGATTGGAGCTTAATTTTTTTGGCTGGTTTTAAACCACAACAACTGGTCATTTCTAGAAGGTGTCTCCAGCTAAGTTTTGCATATTATGCAAGAGGAAAAGTGAGCCTTCCAAGCTTTCATCTCTTTATTCTCCTTATTCCAGCCCTTTCATGCAAGTTAGAAGAGAACTTCCTTATGATGGTCCTAACAGAGTTCACAAAAGAGATGTGAGAGAAGGAAGCTGGAAGGAATTTGTCCATTCCTGTGAATGCCTGCCACCCACCCTGGGACTCTCCAGTCTCTTTGTCCTTTGATGTGCTGGAGTTGTCCCCCGAAAATATTTCTGATTACTTACCACAAAGGTACCAATGTAACAACAAGGGATTACGAGCACCACAATCAAGGCAGTCCTTAAATATGCAGAAAGAGGATGGAATATGGAGAGCACTTGTATAAATAGCAATAATAAAACTTTAATGACCTCCCAGACTTTGGACAAGTCCATTTTTATACTGGAACCTGGCCCAACAATCTACTAGAGAAGTTCTTAATCTATTTTCTTTCATTCCTCCAGGGTTAAAGCAGTTGGAAAAAAATCATAAACAAAATAATGCAGAATTTTGGAGTGCTGGAAAAATGTTTCATTTTGGGAATGGCAGCGATCCACCATCTGCTTATTTCATCATTCGATTGTGTCTTAACCTTACATGCAGAGCCTGTAATTTTGAAGCCGATGAAACGTTCACCACATATTCCACCGATCAGGTGGATGCCAGAGAAAGCTAAACTGAGCATCTGAAGAAGCTCAGGGTTAGGTTCTGAGATCAGTTTTGCAGACACTATCATGAGATCAATTGGAGTTCTTCTCTTGGCTACAGCTTCAGTTCAGGTTCACCTGCCAGCATTGCAAGGGTTGAAACCAAAGTTGTGCCTGTAATGATGAAAAAGCATGTTCACCAGTGGGAAGTTAATTTTACAGACTTGCTGAGCTCATTCATAGATGCTAATTATTTACTGGTCCTATGTTCAGGTTTTTAAAATAACTCCCTCTGAAAGCAAGTGCAGCCTTACTGAGCTAAATGTTTTGTTGCTTGGGAATATTGTTACTAGTTTTACATTATGGCATCTTGTTGTGAAAAACAGACTCCACACCATGCTCTTGAAGTGCAACACTCCACTCAATTCTGAGACAGAAAAATATATTTGACAGTTATTTCATATCAAGTTAAGGTAAATAAGATAACAAGATGTAAATGCCCAGATTATATTGTAAAATGATAAGGAAATGTAGCACCCAAAAGGGTTTAGAGGCAGAAAATCTTGTATTTTTCACCCTGCTGGAAATATTTTCGTACCACAAGGCCTCTATTCTTCAGCTGGCTCTCAAAGACACTGTTTTCTATTGTTTGTTAAAATAAAATGTTTATTTTTTCTGTTGCACTACCTCATAAGGATCTTAAATAGATGATAGGAGCCCGTTGCACCAGGCACTGTACAAACAAATACAGTGACTGCACTCTCTCAGCAAGGCTTTTGTGACCAAATAAAATATTGAAGAAAATAAATAGCAAATGGGAAGAAGTTTAGGGAATATAACAGCAGAGAGATGTACATTTGTGTAGTCACAGTAATTTTAGGAGCCATGAGCTGCAAAAAAAGTACAAAACTGTTATGAAAGCTCTTCAGTATTAACTCTGTACAGGCTCTGTAATATGTTTTCTTGCTCTTTGACAGTGGAGGCAATACATTTTAGATGTTTTGCTCACTTCAATATTTATACTCAGTGTAAAATAAATCTGAATATTACTTCAGCTATTTTTTCTGGTAGAGCCAAGTAATTCAGTTGTGAAGGAAATCTTCCTTCTTATGTCAGTCTACCACTGTGGGTTTGTCAGGCCACATTTTGACCAGGAACAGTGTTTTTTTGTTACCATTTCAATAATGTTGTGTAGCAAAAGCTAAACATTCAAAGAATAAAGACTTCACGTTAACAAAAAATCTGGCAGAAATTTCTGTCCAGACTGCTGAGTTCTTTCCCAACATAACTCAGAAAGTACAAAGATCCACGGCTTTCTGTACTGTCATAGCAGATGGCTAAAAATCATTATATTTATTTTAAAGTATTAGAATTTATTGTACTGCTCAGTTCTTCTGATGTGCCTTTTTATTTGTGAGCCACTTAACTCAGTCACATTGTAAAGCTCTAGCTGTAGCCATCCACACTAGAAAGTTTATTTCTACTTGACAATTTTGACTTTCACTTGATCATGCCCTTTTAGGTGGTAGGGCATTTATAAGAAATACCAGTTAATGCAAATTTTGGGTTAAAATTTGGGGAATGTCAGGAATGATGAGAATCAAGACTGGTCTCATTTACATTATCTACTGACTTCTGTAGAAATGGGGTTTTTCACCCTTGCAAGTAGGACTTAAAAACAAAACCACAGACAGTACTGCCAGCAGCTGCCCTTTTCATCCATTTATCATTGGGAATTTTAAAGCATTGTGAAACATTGGTATTTCAGTGAGCTTGGTCTTGTTCACCCAACATCCAAGTGTCTGTGTTGGAGAATGCTCCCTTGAGGATAACAGTTGTTTGAATCCTAATTAGGTGCTCTGAGAGTCCAGTTTTAAGCATTAAGTATCCCCAAGTTAAAAATATGGAAAGCTTTGTCACTTGCAACAGCTCCCATGAAGATATTCATTAAAAATACAACATACCACTTCAATTGGAACCCAGACTTTTGTACTCTGATCATATTATGCTCTTCTTAAACCCACCCATGGACTAGGAGTGGAACAGACCCATGTATGTCCCCCACGAGGGGAGATCACAAAACAGACTATGTCCCTGGTTTTCCTTTCCTGCTGCCACAGGTGTTTTGCAGGACAGTTTAAAAACATATGTTTACCTCATCTGGATCACTGAACAACATGTTAGATTAGATGAGGTCGTTGAACTCCTCATCTTCCTTGCATGTGTCAGGCAAGTCAGCTGCTGTCTGATCCCTCAGAAATAAGCAATACCCTTTATAAGTGCCTTATAGCTGTGGTAGATTGTTTATGGTCCCAGAAAATGTGACATGAAAAAAGATGACAGGGAGGAAACCTTTTAGCCTCAGTTCTCCAGTTTCTGTATTTCAAGTCCAGAGGTGGGATTTGGGTCTGGGATCTTGAGCATGAAAGGATTTCTGTCTTCAGTATGTGGGAAGGCGATTTATAAAATGCAAAAGGCAGAAAATTCGGGACATGAATGTTAGGCCAAGCTCTGTGACCACTGGGTGCCACTCTTGTTCCATGGCGAGTGAGCTGCTGTGTCTTTAACAAGGACCAAAAAGTTTACTGACTCGACTGAATGTCCTTACGTTGAGTCAGGCTGCCAGAATACGAATGCCATGTATTCTGCCTAGAAGAAATAAAAAGCAGAAGGTCAATGATAGACGCTTGCAGTAAGCAAGAAAGGAAGATTCAGTAAGCAAAATCCAAGCAGTAAAACCTGGAAGTTCAGGTCTGCTGAACAAGGTACCACTTGTAAGGGTAGGTTGTTAATCATAGTTGCGAGCTCCTAAGACGTCAATGTCAGAATTTGTATATTCCTAAGAAAAGGGTGAAGAAACTGATTTAAAAATCTGTTTTTAAAATTAAATAATTAACAGATTTTAAGTCAGCTTTTTTGCATCTAACACAGCTGGCAAGATAAAACGTAGCACCTCTTTTTGATCCATTCTATGGATCTAAAACAGAACCTATTTCTATCATTAGGATGCTGTAACAACCACAGCATTCTGATAGTTCTTTTCTAAGGGGACAGACCACCACCACTGCTGTAGTACTGAGTATGGAAGGGTAAAGCTAACTGCAATGATTTCTCTGTCCAGACTAAGAGAAGGGCTAAACAGAAAAAAAAAAAAAAAAAATCATGAGCAAGACATTGCTCCCCTAATCAACAGTGTGAGGTTTTTAAATAAATGTGTTTTTCTGAGGCTTTACCTGGCATAAATTGCTACAGTTCTGTTAAAGTTGTGGTGACAGCACTGATTCCTAAAAGGTGTGAATACTCTTTAATTCTTTTATGTCTTGTTATTTTGATTTGATTTTAAATCAAAATAGTCTAATGTCTTCAAAAATGCAGTGATGAACTGCTCACTTCCAGATATATTCTGTCACACTGTGATCTGAAAATGGAGGTGGATTGAGATGGATTTCTTTCTGGCTCTTCACTTGTGAAATTCTTGTTTGAAATTTATTTGGAGCCACACCTCCTCTTGGACTGCTAATGAATGCATATGTTTAGCCCTGTGTATTAAGTACAGACTATTTAATGTTGTATTCAAATCTTAGAATGGATTTTTTTTGTACTGTAGTTACACCCAAAGGCCCCCAGCTGAACTCTAGCGCATCAAAAATTGTAGTAGCACAGCAGAAGATGTGACCTCTGTCAGGGAGACCTTGCCATGTGAGTGCAAAAGAATAGTTGGAAGTGGATGCTGACAGATTAAGAGAATAAGAAGGTATGGAGTTAGCACTGGTCAGCATGACAAGCTGTGGTCTCAGGAAGGCAGCTTTTTTCCTATAGAATCACAAAAGAAGGGTACAGTGACAGAACTCTGCTGATGTTTACAGGAAGGGCAGAGGGGAAGAAACATCAAGGTGCTTCTTTGAAACATGGGCTGCTCTCATGAGCCATGGCCTCTCATAATGACTAAGTTTCCAGGAGGCAGTCTCAGAAATGTTTGTACAGAGGCCAGTGAATGTGAGTTTGTGGCATATGTTGCAATATAAAAGGCGAAGCAGTGGAAGATGTAAAGAGAGGAGGGATTAGGCCAAAGCAAGAGGGAGGGAGGTGTGTCTTGAAGGATGGATATGACAAGTGGTGCAAATATATTTATAAAAGCCAGAGGGAAGGTTGTTTAATTTCACAAAATATGAAGAGTTGAGAATTGGATTAGCTGTATTCATGAAAAAGTAACTTAGAGATTTTGTGGAGACAGATCTGCAAAACAAAGGTTGGAGATGAGGCCCAATTAGATGTCCAAGGTGATAATGATAATCTGATTATATGAGTAGATGATCAGAAAAAAGTATTGCCAAGAGAAAAAATTTTAAAGAGGTTTTTGTCCAGGCCATACTATCCCAGGCCTCATTCTGGGCACAGAGGTTCCGCACACTGGAAGCTTTAGCTCTTGCTCCCCGGTCTGCTAAGAGTAAAGTGAAATCACTTGCAAAAGACCCCATATATTTGATAGCAGAAAGAATTTGGAAAGCATTTGAAGGAAAGGAGGAGTTTACTAGGACTGAAGCTGTAAAATGAGGAGCATATGAAAGCTTGGATCTGGCTGTGATTTAGAAGGACAGCTGCGTATTGGAGAAGATCCAGCCAAGACTGAAGGTTTATTGCTCTAAGTACCTTGGAAATGTTGGTTTTGTTGTCAAATAAAAGACCTTAAACAGGAATTAAAATCAACAGGAGCCCAGGACATAGTTTTACCTGGGTAAGTAGCTTATATTTGGTATGAGAGAAATGGAAACTACTTGTGATTAAACACACAGTAACTAGTCTGCACAGGGTCTAAATACCTTTGTATACATTACTGAAGCCTGCAGTCAATTACGTGACACTGCTGGGAAAGAAGTCCTTAGAGACTTGAGGAGATCTTTGTCCTAGGACTCAGCTTGCGAGGTGGTGTATCAAGATATATGTCTGAATGTCAATAATATCAACGTACCTCATCTGCAAGTTCCACCTAGTCATATCAGCATGATGTGGAACAGATACAGCTGATTTAGGGGCTAGAAAGGCATTTAATGTAACTTTTATTTTTCAGGAATAATAGAGCTTGCCAATATCCATTCATTAACTCCAGGCTGTTTTTTTTAACGACTATTCTCCATGTCTCTTGCATTGTATGAGTCCAAGTATCAGAGTGGGTCAAATTTAGCTACTTCTTTTTTTATTACCTTTCTAGTAATCAGTACAAAATGCAGATACTACAAGCTAAAACAATTGGTACTTTTCAAATATCTTGAAAAAACTATATTCTGCAACTGTTTCTTGATTTTCTTTGATAACTACCTCACAAAGTCTTTTCTTACTCTAAGGCAGTGTGTATATTAATTATTTCATATAGTTAGAAAGGCACTCAGCTGACATGGTTATAAGCACATCTGACAATGTCTTATCCTTAGCCATCATTTCCTCTTTGAGAGGAGGTAAGCTTCCTCTTTGAGATCTATAATAGGTTTTCTCTGAGGAGTCCCATATTTGAATGGCTAAGGTTAGTTTGGTCAGCACAACCTTGAATTTAACACATCTTCCTTGTTTTCCAAAGTTACTGTAGATTATCATGGCCCCATTTCCCCACTAGACAAATGACATTTCCAGCTTATACAGTGACCTTGGTATTTCAAATGAGACATGACAATTACTGACACTAGAGTGTTGTTTTTCATCAGAGAGCAAAAATCTTATTTTTGGTAAGTAGCTCAACACTGAATTACACCATTGAGAATACTGTGTGGGATGGAGGTTATTGGCAAAGGCTCCAGCTCTGTGTAACTTCTCCATCAGACTGAGTATAAATCAGATTACATTTTTACTTTTGGTCCCTGTTTTTTTTCTCTGCAGGTACAATATTCCCTAGTGCTACTTCATGTATAATTTTGAAAAGGCAGAAACTCACATAAATCTCCCTGAGACTTGTAAAATTGCAAACAGGAAATACAGCAATGTCTTTATAGTATCACAGAATCGTTTAGGTTGGAAGGAAACTGTTGAGATAATCTAGACCTGTGTTTCAGTTTGTGTCCTTTTCCTCTTGCCCTGACACTAGGAACTGCTGAGAAGAGTCTGTATCTCGTTTTCTTCATTTTCTCTCATCAGGTGCTAAAGACAGATAAGATCTCTCTGAGCCTTTTCTTCTCCAGGCTCTTTCGGCCTGTTCTCTCATGCTCCAGATCAATAATTATTTTAGTGGTCCTGTGCTGGATTCAGTGTGGTAAGTCTGTATCTGCCCCATTCTGGGTAGCGCAGCCCTGGACCCACCACTCAAGATGTGTCTCACCTGGTGCTGAGTAGAGGGGAAGGATCACCTCTCTCAACCTGCTCTTCTGAATGCTGGCCCAGAGGCTATTGCAGTTGAATGGTCCTGTTTTAACTGAATCAAGACCTGGTGTTTGGAAGTTCTGATCACCTCATTCTCTGCTATTCTCAGGACATCTGCCTTTTACTGGGATTCCTATAGGGAATAAACTGGCATCTTGTTTGCGGGTCAGCTGTAGAGTGAACTAAGAAATGTGAACTAAGCTCTTGGAATTTTGCCTGCCCCAGAAACACAGGTGGTTTCCAAGCCAACCTGAAGAGACTTCCAGGATACACCACGGTCCTCCATTCTGGACTTGATTTTCATTGTTTTGAACTGGTAGAAGGAAAGTACATTTTCTTCTAGGCAGCTGCACAAGTGCACATAACTTGATTTGTTGATCCATAACAGACAGGCTCTAGGTAGACTTTCTCAAGTCTAAGCCTACATGCAGTAGGGTCACAGCTGTTATCACCATCACTTTATCTGGCTTCAGTATCAGAGTTCTGACTTGTATGCTACCTCTGTACTTCCACTGTAGTTCTAGAAGCTCTCCATCAACCTTTGAGATACAGTTATGAGGATCCATAGACATTAGTTTTTGACTGCTCACAGCAAAATCAGTTAAGAACCTCCCCCTTCTGCCAAGGTGGTCACCTCTCCTAAATAATTTCTGTTATCTACCATGATTCCCAGTATGTACGGACAGAGAAAACTAGATCCACCTCAGAAGGAGGGGCAGCCTAGAAGTTCAAGAGGAGTTGACAAACAGAAGAGCTCAAGACTTTAGGATTTTGACTCCTTTGGTTGTTTTGAAGCCCAACTCAAAATTCCTATCAGTTTTCTACATGTTATGCAAATTTTGCAGAACTAAAGGCATTGCCAGAAGCAAAACTTTCCGTTGTGTGACACCGGATAGAAAGCTATTTCAAAATCAATGATTCACCAGGGGAACACATTTCTGAGTGAGCTGTACAAACTCCTGAGCTGCAGTGATGATGTTGTCCTGAATATGAGTCTGAAAAGGCTGTTCCCTGCTTAAATTACCAGTAGACATCTGCAATCACTTTTCTACAGCCAGGCATGGCACCTCTATGTCCTGTGCTGTGCAGAAAAACAACTCATTTACATCTGGGACGTTTATGAGCCTCAGAGATCACTCTGAAACATCTGTAAAAGAGCTGCTGCCATGTTAACACTCCCTCTCTTTGTGTGACATACCTGAAAAAGAATTATTGCTAGGGCCTCCAGCTACTGTACAGCCTATTGCAGCTCATGTTGCCCTACCTCCCATTCTGCCATTGAGCAAGGCCTTGTTGTCCATGTT